ACCAAAGAGCTGCAACCCACAAAGGCACCATTCCCGATGTGGGTCACTGAGTTTGGGATGGTCAAGTTCACCAAAGAGTTCCCGATGTGGGTCACTGAGTCTGCGATGGTCACTTTGGCCAACTGCGTTCATTGTTCAAAGGCCCTGGCTGAGATTTGAGTTCCGTGGCATGGGATTTCAGCAACGAGTAAGAGTTCTGAGTCAATCTCGCTCCCCAAGTCGGCGATCTCACCCTTGTGGGAGCATCTCACTCTGTTTTCTTTGAAGACGACGATCACAGGGTCCGCATCAATCAGCCCCACGTCTGCCACTTGTTCATCATTGCCCAGCAGCTGGTCTCCAACAACAACCTCCACCACAGTAGTGCTGCAAGTGACCTTGTCCCAGGGCTGCCCTTTTTTGATCTGTTGTTTGAGCTCTCTGCCTGTCGTCTCGGGCGTGATATCCAAAATACACATATCACCATTGACCTGCTGCGCTGATGGCGTCTGATCGCCATTGGATTTCTGATCTGTATGTGCTACTGCCAAACCTTGCTCGCCTACTTATCTGTATGTGCGATATGTTGCTCGCCTCAGGTTGCATTTCCTTTCGTTATATACTGTGGCGGCGTCACCACGCATAGTGACAGCTGTGCCCCTTCCATCCATTGCAGACGAATTCTGAACTGAACTCCTTGGGGAGGACCCTTCTTGGGACCTTCCTCTGTTGGGCCTCTGCCCTTCCGTTCAGGGCCTCCCTTCGAACTCTGCTCGGCACCTTCCCGTTTTGTTCGCAGGCCGGGCGCCGACCGCTGCCTGCGTCGACTCGCCAGGGGGCCGAGCGCGACGGTGACCGGGAACGGAGATCCGAAGATGCGGATCCGGAGACGCCTCAAAAGATCGTCGTGATAAGATGCAAATTATGTCTATATAATATGACAATACTATCAGTATGACTAGGACTATAATATGTCATCAATATGACTATAATTACGATGTCTATAATATGTAAAGAAAAACCGCATGACACAAAGTAATATCGTCGTCGTCAAATATATTCTTGGAACCCCCCTTACAGGTCCTTACAGGTCATGTTGGGATGGAAGGGATGAAGCCGGAAGCGGATCCCCTTATTTTCGTTATGGACCTCTGGACCTCCAAGCAGGTGCCCGAAATTTGGGATCGCTGCGCTCAGACGGGTTGGGGGAGTTCCGGTTTTTCTCATGAAATACTGGAGTTGGCCATGTTCAACAGCTCATCTACCTGGGTCAGACCGCCAGTCGGGGTCAGACCTGACCTTCTCAGGAGTTGACGTGGCTCATGTTGCCGGGTACGGTCGAAGCACAAATGAGCACAGCAGATTCGAAGAAAACAGAGTCCAGACTCATACCACACGTGGAAGCTCTTTCTATTGAATTCTCTGGGTGCAACAGTGAAGGATCCGAAAAAGAGACCATGACATGTGAGACCCTAGACCCTCCAACTCGGGCCTTGAAAAACGGTTTTGGCCCCTTCTCAAAACACGAACACAGAGGATCCACCGAACTTCTGGGCCCACTCCACCAGACCCCCCAAGTACGACTCCGTGATTCCCCACACCAATCCACGCGACCAGGCTCCCAGGGCACGGCCATCCATCTCACCTCACGCCTTCGCGACAGGTGCAGACCTTTCCCAGCGACCGCTGGTGGACCTGGTGGATCGCGATCTTTTTCGGTCCCGACGGCGTGGCTTTGATCAGTGGATGAGTGGGTTTGGCCCCAGCGTGGTGGGGTTGGTAATCAAGGGCCCCGCACGACACCTGAGAGGAATTCGGAGGTTCTCAAGCGCAGGACAACTCACTACCATTGCTACTCACCGCTAGTACAGTTGCCACACAAAAACCAGGACACTGTTCTGCTGGGATTGACTGGAAGGGCCTTCAGCAGAAGGTGAATGATTTTTGTCGCAGCACCACTTCATATGCTTCCAGGAGGGGTACACTTCTACATATAGCTTTGGAGGGCCGAAAACCTTTGAGTAGAAGGTATGACAGGATCCTCCGAAGCTCGGCAGCTTTCGGGGCGTCGTTTGGAGCTTCGATTGGTATGTGTCCCAAGCTGCCCGAAGGTCAGTTGCACAGGCTGACGGTTGACCGAGTGAGCCACTGACCCGCGCCTGGCTTTGTTTCATGTATGTTTTTTCCATGTTTCACAGCCTCAACCAATGCCTGCATCGCTCTACTTACTTGGCGCCGGCCTTTTTCTTCCAACAAATCACTGATGGACGCACCCAGTCGCCAGGTTCCACTGGTGGCTGGGGCACAGGTGAGCCATCACGATGCGATTCACCGCCTGGGCCACCAGCGCGAATCCTTCCATCAGCAGCACAAGGAGGGCGAGGTTCAGCCAGTGTCGTTCCTCCCTACGTCGCCACATCAACAAGATCATTTCACTGGTCATCTGACACAACTTGTGGACCGCGTTGACCACCCCCAAACCCATCGACAGCAACACCTTCCATCGGCCCCAGCTGCCTAACTCGGTAAACGCAAGGCTGAGGAAGGCGGATTGCAAGAACAGCTGTGGCAGATTCTGGGCCGCGACCTTAATCAGAGCGACCATCGTCTTGGCCTGGCGGCGCAGCGGCCAGTCTTGCTCGCGCCACGTCTGGATGCGCCCGAGCCTTTGCCTTGCCACCGTCCAGCGGCCCTCGAAGTGCTCGGCCACGCCCTGGAGCCCCGCCACGGCGGCCGCCACGGCGGCGCCGGCCTCGCCGTCGGCCGCGCGCGCGGCGAAGTCCAGCCAGCTGAAGTACCACTGCTGCGCGGCGACGGCGAAGAGAAGCATCAAAGCCATGAGCCCCGACAGGCCCAGCCAGTCCGCGAGCGCCGGGAAGTCCTCCAAGACGCCGGAGCTGCCGAACACGGCCACGAAGCGGTCCGTGGCCGCCGGGTTGCAAGCGGCGGCCTGCCACGGCATCGCAGCATCCGTCAAGAGGTCCTGGATGGGACGCCAATGTCATGGCTGCCAACGTCATGGGGCCACGATGGAAACAAACCCTAGGGCTCCAACCATATTCTCAGAAGGTGGTTAGAGCCCCCAAACCCACCCCAACCATCTTGGAAAAAGGCGCCTGGCCGTTGCCTCTGGTTGGCCGAGGCTCTAAATGTTCCAAAGGGCCCCACAGCCAGAACTCAAGCGTCCAGATTAATTCGGAAGATTGAAGGCTCTCAAGCATCAAAGCCTCCTTAGTCAGACGCTCCAAACAGCTCGACTGGTCCCTCAAAACCCTAGGGATTGGTTCGGGTCCGGACCCCTACTGAACGGAGGGTCCAGGGTCGCGTCTGGGTAGTCAGAAATACCAGTAGCCCAAACCCATGAAAAAATAAAGGTTTTCACATACGAAAACCATGTTTGTTGACATGGTAATGGGGTTCACCATGTTTACCCTCAGGTGTTTGTTGATAACCACTTGTTCAACAGTTGAACAGCTGCCCTGTTGGCACCAGTGTCTTGCCAAAGGAAAGGACAAACCCAGACCGATCGATCGTTCAACATGCAAACGTTCTATCCTTTAATCCATAAAACCTGCCAGGTTCGGCAGAAAATGTTGCATGTCGCTGGAAGATCCAGGTGTTCCTTGTACAAGATTCCAAGATTTGGCCCTCAAGAGGAAAGGCAAGTAGAGGGCATAAGCCCAGGTCGGCATTCCTCTCCTGCACGTCCACGTCCAAGGTGCTGCAAGCAAGGGCAATACAGGAACCAACACCATGAGGCGTGCTTCCAATCTGAGTCGCACTCTGATCAGATCTAAGAAGTGTTCCTCTTGCTCTCCTCTCACCTGCAGGGCTCACCATCAGGTCGAACCAACGCTTCGGTCACATGGGGTCAGACCTTTCTTGAAAAGTACGACTACAGTATTGAGTGAAACCAACATGTGCCTCTGAAACCAACACCATTGATCAATATGAGAGTGGAAACAAATACTTGCAAGACTTGCAGCAACCATATCTTTCTCAAGTAGCTGCCTGCTGCTCTCGCTCTGAATCCTCTGCGGATTCATCGCAGAGAGTCATTGGACCAGTACCAAGAGTGTATGACGGCTTCTGCCAATCGTCGCAAATTCTCAGCAGCCACGTCCGACAGAAGAAGATATGGACAACCACACAACTCAGCAAAACAAGTCCAGACGCGATCATGGACATAGCCAGGAACCAGTCCATCTTGAAGGAGCTGAGAAAACGAAGGCAGGTTCTTTCAGTTTGACTACCCGGAGCCGAAACTGCGAGCGAAACCTGCCGAAACCTGCCGAAACGTTTTCGGCAGTTTGACTCGAAAGGCAGACACGTTCGACCTACTCGCAACGCCCAGTGGATCCGTTCCACGGAACGCCTGAGGGCCCTGGGGGGCCCTTTGGGGTCGGTCGACCTGGTGGGTGCCGGCCATGCCGATGCCGTGACGAGGAGTGCTTGATCGAAAAGAGCCGAGGAAAACCAGGATCGAAGATTGGCACCAGCATAGACCCAGATATCTGCAGATCTCTGGGAGATAAAAGTTATGCTAAGCATAGACCCCAAACAGCTTCAAAACGATTCGTTTAGACCAGTAAACTGTTTGGGGAAAGAAGCTCTTGACATCCAACGTTCGGCCCCACAACCCCAACACAGCTCGAGCTGTGACATGACAGTCGACCCCACACGATGGGCGTGACGGGCCGCGGGGCCCGTTCGTCGTGGCCCTCGTTCGTCTACGAAGGAAGCTACGGCGCCCGGTACATGCCAAGGTAGGAAGCTGCATCTCCAAAAACGAGCTGGGGGTTGGGCAGGGGGTCATTCATTCGTAGAGGTCATGTTAGTGAGACACCCTGAGGGAACCCTCTAAATCTACACTAACATGGAAGTTGGGGCAGTAGCTGGTTGGATGGATTCTATATCATGGAAGCAAGTCGGCCCTGAAGTTCCTCCAGAACTTGCCTGCCACAACCCCCAGAATGCCCAGTAGGAAACGTCTGGCCAGTAGGGACATTTAGGGAAATCGTCTTTTCCTGAAACTTCCATGTTCGGGGCCATCCGTGTGTATGATGATAGCCCGTACCGTAGGTTGGCAGACTTCATCTCTAAAATAGTGATTGGCTGTATGATCACGACTTTTACAAGTTTACTACACAGACGCTCATGGACCCTCCTAAGTAGGGGTCCGGACCCTGCTAAGTAGGGGTCCGGACCTTCTCACCAATCCCTAGGGTTTGGCTTCGGGACCAGTCGAGCTGTTTTCACGGAGCACAGCTAAGTAGGACAGACCCTACTTCGCACATCCAGCGCTTTTGTACCGAGCGCTTTTGGGGACCGAGCGCGTTTGGGGACCGAGACGGACACCCAGACGACGACACCGAAGCACGTGACACGGTAGTCGACCAGGCACCACTGGCACCGAAGGACTTCACCAAGAAAAAGCGGCTGTAACAGCATCAGGACGAAGCAAAAGCCGTCGGTTTGGACTCACCAATTCACATGGTGTGTTTGTTTGTGGTTTCATGAGTGGTGAACATGCTTCAAAAACATGTGTCAAGTCCCCTTTTTTCTCCCAAACATCAGTCGCAATCCTCAGCCAGCGCTGTTTGCCAGATCCATCAGTCGCATCGGCAATAGGCTCCACCGTATGAGTTGTCGCCATCCACCACGGCGTGGCCACCGCAGCATTCCCCGTAGCCTCCACAATCACGGTTGCCGTGATGCAACGGCGCGCGGTCTGTGGAGTACTTTTGGCTTTGAAAGATGGATCGGGCTTTGATGCAACCTGGCCGAATCCATCAATACAGTATCACGTCGAATGAAAACGAATAGATGCGGAGAATGGAGAACGGACATCGGGAGTCAAGAAAGGAAACAGCGAGTCGTCATCGTCGTCCAGGGGTTGTCAAGTACGGCTGTCATCCCCAAATTAGGGAAGGACAAAATCTTGCGAAGAAAAAACGAGCAACAGAATGTTTGCCCATTCAAGTATCCTTCATCCATGTCAGGATCTGTGAGCTTATTTCGGTCGCGTTGTTTGGAGCTGCAGTGGGTCTCACGTCCATAAGTGCCCATTCCAGCACAGACGGATCGTCCATTGGTCCTTTCGCAGGGAGTTCCAATGGCCACTTTGCAGGTCTTGCTCGTGGGGCTGCAAATCAAACCTGGCCAGCCCGGTACTGTGAAATGTCCCGCCGAATGAGGTAGTGTACTTTGTACATGTGGGATGCTATGAAAAACAGATCCACGGTTCTTGAAAGTGGGTGTGCTTTGCCGATGTTTGATGATTTTTTGTAGGATATTGTGCGTATGGATTTATCTTGCATATTGCTTCGTCTATCCAAAATGCCACATGAACAAAAAGCAAGAAACCCGTGCCACAGCACTTGTTCTCTTTCCACTGGTCACCAATCTTGTCGTAGCAATCGCATGGCTTGCCATAGCCTGCTAAGGTCTCGTTCTCAAACTGCACCGTGCTGATGCGGCTCGCCGAAGCAAGCGTAGCAAGCATAGCAAGAAGGAAGGGAAGGAAGGCAGGAAGTAGCATCGATGCCGATGTCAACCGGCCAAGATTTCACGAACGTCCAAAGTCTGCGAACCTTTGTTCTTAGAGCCAAAAAGCTACCCTGGAAGTCAAAGACTATAAAAAGAATGATCTGACTAGGTGACCCGAGTCCAGGAATTTCCTGAAACCTTCAGTCGGTCAAAATATCGTCGAACTGGACTTCTAGGGGCTATCACCTGGAACAGCACCTGGCTGGAAGAGCCTGCATCAATGGACACAGCAAGTTCGGAAGCTCGCCCGGCATGCCTGCAGAGGTTAAGTGACCTGAACTAGGACCCGTCACCAGGGGTACCTATAGGATAGTCTATAGGGTTCTTCAACCTCTGCTGGTGTGTTCTGAGAATGAAGAACTGCTCCGCAGCTGGTCTTCTGAGCATTGGATCTTTTTCTTCAAGAACTGGATGTCTTCGTTCGCAAGGGTCAGTGGGGTCTGTGAGGTCTTCTGCTCAGTGGTTCAACATATGGAGCAATACGGTGTTGGTGATGTGATGTGATGTCAGAGTTCTACCGACGTTGGAAGACTGAAGACTTCACGTCCGGGTGTCTTTCTGTTTTGGATGATTGCCGAACGACGGAGTGGATGGAAAAAACATCCAAAGGTCCGTGCTTCACGACTTCTTGAGAGTGGTATCCTGAAAACTGCCAGGACTTCGTACCTCTCAACTCGGGGTCCACAGGTCACGCGGGTCCACAGGACACGCATCACTTCTTCGACTCTCCACTGGTTTTCGTCTCCTCACGCGGTGCGCCGTGAGGCATCCTGGTCGGGCGCGGTGCGCGGCGCGCCGGACCCCCTGGGCGACCGACCTGTTTGGCCCGAGGAAGTCGTCTGCAGCCGGGCAGGGCAGCCTGGGGAGGGCGAGGAAGTTGGAACTCCTGCCCTGCCAGGCGAAAAGACGGAGGTTCTTGGAGGCAACTTCCAAAGGTTCCAAAGGTTCCAAGGGCTCCAAGGGCTCCACCCTCCACACTGGAGAACCTTCTCCACGTCCTCAGCAGTTTGGAAGACAAATACCTCTTAGGTCACTCTCACCATCGACCAGATCCTTCTCCCTCCCTCGTGCGCCAGCCCTTTTTGCACCCTCACCTGCGAGCGTTTCCGCACGAGCTCGGGTCCCCGCCACCACGTTCGGTCGGCAGGTGCCCTGGAGCTGCACCGCTCCTCCTCACGCCTCGCGTCCATGCGCGAGGGAGAGAGCGGCGCAACCACTGCGGCGCTGCGCTGCCCCAGGAGTGACCTTCGTAGCCCAGAAGGATTTACTTGGAGTTGGAGGCCTCGTTTTGTCCAAGTGTGGTGGAGGGTCGTGGCAAAATTCAGAAAGGTTTGGAATTGAGAACAGGTCTCGAACGCGACAAGCTTGGCTTCATGCACCAACTCCCTGAAGATGTTCCTTTGCAGAATCCATGCAGAACCGCAGAACATGACGAAAATACCCCTCGGACCCTCTCGCTCGATATTTTCACACCTGATTCTCCCTGCCAGATTGGTTGGAAGGCGACTTCACCCAAGTTCTCCAGAGACCGACTGACGAGGACCTACCTACCAGCGTCCCTCCGAACTCCCATGAAAAGGTGTTCAGATATCTCAGACGCTCCATGTCTGGTATATGTGCCATGCCAGCAGAGGTTGAAGAACCCGAACTAGACTATATATCCTATATAGGTACCCCTGGTGACGGGTTCAGGTCACTTAACCTCTGTAGGTACATTGGGATAGTTTCGGGGGTCAATGTAGGCATATATGGCAGTCCCATGGAGCGTTTTCGCATATAAAGCATGAACTTCAGGAAAACAAGGTTTGTGGGGCCCCTGGTTAGACCCCAAATCATGCTACTTGGGCGAACTACTGGAGCACGCATCTTTCGCCCTGAAATGGGCGAGGTTGGGAAAGTCGTCAAGCAACTGGCGTGGATTCTCGCACGGCATATCCTCAACCTTGCTCTCTCGGTAGCATCCTTTGTCTGCTCTCTGGGCGCCACAAAACAAAAACTGATTGAAAGTAGAAACCAAATCTCATCGTCATAAGCAACCCTATGCTGTTGTCACAAGATGATGCACCGTGGTTGGATCAAGGTCGATACCTGCTGGAGAAGAAGTATCACGCACTTAAAGTATTCTGCTTCCCGACTTCCTTTCAAAGACTTCGCTGCCTTTAGGCAGCATCAGGGTCATAGAGGGATGGCCGTAGAGGTAATTGCATCAAAGAACCCACAAGAAGGGGCTGCCTTTCGAAACAAATGCCGGGAATTGGAAAACAAACCTCTCCAAAACCCGCACAGGTGAGCAATTTCGACCATTCCTCACTACCAGGCTCAAACAGCAGAAACTGGCTCAAACAGAGACCGAAGCAGTCCGGGATGCTTTGAAAGCCGGAGCTTTGAAAGCCGTCCATCCCGTCCATCCCTGGGGCTTTTGGCGTTTCTGGAGTTTTACTGTAAGAGGAACGAGAGTTTCTCCAAAGTTCTCCTCGTGTGTGGAAAGCATGGATGCCACAGCATCCCCCACTGAAGGGCAGTGATGGTCCGTAGAAAATGGAAGAATAGAGGGGGTGGGTGCCAGCTACGACGTTGCACGAGACCGATGGTATCAGTTTCATCCAGAAACATTGGTCGTGCTGTGACTGCAGGCCACCGTCGCTTGAGGGTGACCGATTGGACTCTGTGGGAACCGAGGTGTTGCTGGCAAACCGAGGGCCGTGGCAATCCACTTCCAAAGGGCTTCAGGAGTTGCTAACCAGCTTGAGATGTTCCTAAGGTCTCGGTTCGTCGAGGTTCCAGTTCGACGAAAGCCTCATTCAGAAGGAACCAACACCCCGATAGAAGTCTAGTGAAAGACGATATTTTGCCCCACTGAAGTAAAGCAAGCTCTTTTGGGGGATCACCTTTCGTCAAATTTTTAAAATAGTTGACTGTACTCCCAGGACCCTCCAAGAGGTGTCTATAGCCTCTTCTTGGAGGGGGTGTCCAAAAAACCACCGGACTTGGAAGATCCAGGTATTCTCAATGCAGTTTTCACAGCATGTACTTGAAGGTACTTTTGCTGAAGGTTTGAACGTTTGTATGTTCGATTGCGGCCATTTAGGGCCCTTGAGTCACCGTGGTCACGACCCTACTCGTTCGACTTGTGTAGAAAAGGCAGGTTCGACTTTGTGTGCGAGATCCTGTTCAATCAGATTGGTAGCGGAGCCCAATACGTTCCAGGTTGACGCTTTCTTCGGTGATCTTTTTGATTGAGGAGACCTTTGTTTTCCTTTGGACGGTTGAGGATAAGCTCCCATGTCCGGAATGGAGAGAAGTCCACGAAGGACACCAGTCCGACGAGCGCGGACCTCGGCACCTGCGAATCCCGCAGCTGCTAGTGCTACAGGAGGAGGACTGTTTGCGAATGTCGAGAGTGATGATCCTGGCCTTCTGCTTCCAGGTATTCCCTTTTCTTCGGCTTCGCAGAGCAAGGGACTTGATTCAGGCCTAGCCAAAGCATGTCCGTCCACCGACAACCTGAACCAGAAGAGCTATAGAAGTTTCAGGCGCAGATTGGAGTTGTTTCAGAGAGGCAATGCAGCAGACGAGGACGTGAAGTTGCTGTCGAGGGAACGTTCCTCATCATAAGCCGCTTGAAAGATGTCGCATGGGATGCAACAGAGCACCTCAGCTTCGATGAAGTCGAGAGAGCCTCAGATCCTTTCAAGTTGCTGTTCAAGCTGCTGGACGAGTTGTACCAGTATGAGGATTTGATTGAAGTGCCCTCCCGTTGCGATGAGTTCTTCTCTGAGTTCTACCGCCTGAAGGGAGAAGAAATGCAGGCGTACATCATTCGCCATCGCAACCTCCTCAAGCGCATGAGTAAGTGTGGACATCCCACCGTTGTTGTCGGGGTGGCATTTGTTGACAAGAGCTGGAGTTCCAAGATGGACGCACGTTCAGATCAAGTCCATGTGTGCTGGCGACCTTGAGTATGAGAAGGTGGCCAAAGCATTGGTCAGAATGTTTGGAGGAGATCACAAGCCCAATGCTCGTGATCTTGGACGTGTCCAGCAGGCCAACAACAAGGATGACGTCCTCTACGAAGAAGATGATTCAGAGTGGTATGAGTAGTTTGAAGAAGGCTATGCCGCTGAAGAGTGGTATGACGACGAAGCCTTCAAGTATGGAGAGATTGAGGATGACGAGATTCCTGAGGAGCTTGAAGAAGCAATGGAGTTGACAGACGAGGCTTACGTGTCCTACATCGAGAGCCGCAAGAGGATGAAGGAACTGGCCTTGTCGAGAGGATTCTATCCGGTGGTTGCTTTGGGTCCCGACTTTGAGAAGGGAAGTCAGAGAAGTCCCAAAGGAGAAGGAAAGAGTGGCAAGGGCAAAGGCAAGTCTGGTTTTGGAAAGGGGAAAGGAAAAGGAAAGAGCAAAGGTGGAGGAAACTTCATGAGGCGAACCCCTTTCAACAGAAGACCGATGTCAGGTTTGCGAAAGAGCCCTATGTCATCTACCAGCACTACCGGCGGCTCAGAGAGGTCTACATTGACTGGATCCACGGCTCAGCATGGACCTCGGTTCAAGAGGTATAGAAGCCAAGGTCAAGGTGTGAAAGAAGTGCCAAAAGAAGTGACGATGGTCGAAGACATTGAGGAGATTGGCCATGAAGAAGAGTTGAAGTTGGATGAACATTGTTTCTTCGCGGTCATGGAAAAGGGGAAGGTGATTGTTGACAGTGGAGCCACTCGAACGATTGTTGGTGAGGAGAACTGGCATCGCTGGTTGGAACACTATGGAAGCGAACAAACACAGCCAGTCGCATCTCGTGCCATTGTTCGCCAGTTCAAGTTCGGAGGCGGTGAAGTTTTGCAGTCCCAGTACGAGGTGACCTTTACTGCAGTTGTTCACGGACACTGTCTTCCGGTGACCGCTTCCGTGGTTCCTGGTGCAACACCCTTCTTTCTTGCCAGACCCACTTTGGAGGAGTGGGGAGTCGTTCATGATTACAAGAAAGGA